GCAGAACAGTTCTGAGGAAGGGTCACCGGACCCGAAACGTTAACTCTGTTTTTACCTTCACAGCTGCTGCCAGACCTGCTGAGCTTTTCCAGCAACTTTGTTTTTGTTCCAGTATTTAACTGACCTTAGGAAAGGTTGAAATTTCACACTTTTCCATTCAAACAGGTAAGTAAGAGTGTGTAATTGGTATGATTCATTTATGGCACATTTTTACCCACCCTCATATCAACAGTGTCCATGTCATCTTGAATGTTCAGAGACTGGAATGCTGGAAGAGTGAAGCTTGTCACAGTGGAATCAGAAAGAATTATGGAATTTCCTTCTGTGTTGTCTGCTGGGAGCCTTCAAACAAAATTAACAGCAATTCACTTTATGTCAGGCTTTAATTGATAATGATTCATTGTGCGTGATCAAAGCCAAATGCAAAAATTCATAATAATTATTGATTAAACAGTAATGCTAATTTCTAGATTTTTAATCATACCATTCACCTTGTTGTTCTGTCATAACCAGCTTTAGATGCAAATTTGAACACAATTTGTGTTCTATTCATATGTTGGGACTGCCAAAGGCTCATGAACATAGACTTCACTTTTCTGGAAATACTTTTGAGGTAGAACTCAGTCTAAGATAGCAGTAGGAATCATATCACATGTCAGGCCTCCCACCTGATACTCAGTTCCACTGACTTCAATCACACTGAATTCCAAGTGCGGCATGCATGCGGTCAATGTTGTTCTCCCTACTTCCTGCTACCGAGGGAGAGAAATTAGGTTCCTTACTTACATACATGAAAACCTTTGCCTGTTTTAGCCCACTAAAAGAAGCTTTTTAGAAATGGTCTGTATAATTTAAGATCTGACATCTTTCAAGTCCACTTGGGGAGGGGACCACTGACCCTTGTTGTAGCTATATATTTTGAACTGGCACAATGGGTGCAACAAGATTGAATTTCTACCCTGCTGTCTGCCTCTTCAGATGACTATACCAGATGTCGTATGGCTTTATGTAGAAAAACAGGGGAATTCTTATTGATGTCCAGTGTAACGTTTATCTCTCAGTCACAGAACATATTGGCCAAAATCCCGATGCTCAGAGCAGTGAAATCTACAATTAAGTCTGTGTGGTGAGTTGGGACCCTGAGGAAGTTCTGGTGTAAATACACATGCTGTAATTGTCCCAGAAGTTAACCCTCTAATGGACCTATATGTGTTGCCTGAGAGAGTACACAAGTGTCTGTGACACTGAGCTCAGAGTCAGAGACTTGGATCACGTATGCAGAATTTCCTTGGCTACTTAACGTCTTACACCAGTTGATACTTCAGCTACTCAGAGATTAGCCAGTATGACTGAACTGAACCATCCTCTCCAGATAATCTCCTACCAACCTCATGTAACCCAACTACGTCCCTGATCTGACCGACCCCATGCCTAGCAATTCTCTGACGTGATTATCCCCTTGACCCAACCAACTCTCAACTCAATCCAGCCATCAGTCCCCGACCTGATTAACCCCAAACCTACTCCTCCCCCCACCACCGACTGACCACATGATGACCCGATCACTCTCCCCATTCCAACTATCCCCCTGACCTGACTAGTGCACACCCATCCCAACAGCTCACTTACTTGTCTATCCACTTCCTCACTTATACATTCATCAAATCATTGGCTCATCCACCCACTGATTCAGCCACCTACTGACTGGCTCACATGTTAACCCACACTCATTCTTTCAGAAACTTGAGACCACTAAAATGTACCTGAATGCATCAGGTAGTGTTGTTAAAATGGGGATCGAGTGTCCTCTCCTTTCTCACTCGGGATGGCTGCACCAACCTATTTCTGCTCTAGAATTGGAGGTCCTGGCTGAAAATGGACTCTGTCATCGGGGTGCAGATAACTTTGCAGGCAATGACAATATACTCAACATTGTCACTGTCCACTGGCCCACTGGTAACTCATCTTAATTCTCTGGGTGAAACCTTTGTAGAGCTCAAAATAGCTTCTATATCTGCATACTTAATATTAGTGAATGAGCTTCCAAAGTAATCAACTTACTGTGAAGTACTCTTGAACATTCTGAGGATGCCCAAAGAGCTACATTAAAATTATTCTTTCTTCTTTTTGTTTGATGCTTACACAAATAGGCAGGTTTCTTAACATAGATTTCGAAGTTCAATTTATAAATAGTTACATCCACCAGGTGGTGCTAATTTAAACAGGATGAGGCCAATAAACAAGGCTAATACCATAACCATGGAGTGCAGTGATCAAAAGCATGCTGCAATTTTCTTGAATAAACCTAGTGAAATTTCCGTTATAAATTTATAAGTTTCTTTTAAGTTTACACTTTCCATACCTTATTTGAACTTGAAGTCACTTTAAAGGACCCTAGCCTTGAACATAAATTGGCAGGTGCCATGCTCTCAATTGTGGTGGTTTTGCCAATAGGGGGACTATTAATATACAGAGAATAAATAAGCAGAACCATGCTTTCTGTTTCTGATTTAAACATACAAAAGCACAAGAAAACATCTGTTGGGAGACTTAACAGGATTTAATCCTTTTTTAGGGATTTTTCAAGGGATTGCTGATTGTATAAAACCCCGAAGCAATTCATGATAATAATGTTAAGCTTGTATTTATTAATGGCTTTCTTCTCAATCCATGACATAACATTTATCTCATTTTTAAAGCTAACCATAAATATATTGAGAATACAATATCTTAAATTTAACCTTTGGTTGTTTACAAATACATAATCCAGTGATACAGATCTCAAACTGCACCATTGTGTCTCTCATATTTGTTATCCTAACCACAAATTGGATCGACAATGCGACATTCCTTTCTAAACTGGAAGGACGATAAATGCTGGCATTTCAGGTTGGGACCCTTCTTCAGAAGAAGGGTTCCGACCCAAAATATTAGCTTTCCTGCTCCTCTGATACTGCCTGGCCTGCTGTGTTCCTCCAGCTCCATACTGTTATCTCTGAGTTAAGTGTAAACTTAAAAGAAACTTATAAGTTTATAACGGAAATTTCACTAGGTTTATTCAAGAAAATTGCAGCATGCTTTTGATCACTGCACTCCATGGTTATGGTATTAGCCTTGTTTATTGGCCTCATCCTGTTTAAATTAGCACCACCTGGTGGATGTAACTATTTATAAATTGAACTTAGAAATCTATGTTAAGAAACAGCATCTGCAGTTCTTGCTATCTCAGGATGGTAAATGTTGTTGTACCAACTGTTATACATGAAAAGCTAATTTTTTTTGAAGAGTCCAAGTCCATGCTTTTAAAGAGAGTTTTATTTCAGTTAACATTACACAATTCAACTCACACCTTACTGATTACCCGCTTCCCATTGGGCCTGTTGAACCTGCTCCACTGGCTGATCTTTTCGAGGACTCAGCTCCATTTACCTGGCCCATCACCATACCCCTTAATTCCTTTACTCTTCAAGGACCTACCTATCTTTGTCTTTTAAAAATTCAAAACGGTAGCCTCAACTGCTTAGCTGGGCAGGGAATTCCACAGATTTACAGCCCTTTGGGTAAAGATGTTCTTCCTCAACTCAGTCCTAAATGTGCTCCCCATTATTTTGAGGCCATGCCCTCTCGTTCTTGTTTCACCCACCAGTGGAAACAAGCTCCATGCTTCTATCTTACCTATTCCCCTCACGCTTTTATATGTTCCTATAAGAAACCCCTCAATCTTCTGAAGCAAGACAAAAATTACCTCGCTTTCCCACAGGAAAATGATAAACTATACTGCTCTTGAGAACCCATCAAAGAGATTTGCATAAGAAACCCCTCAATCTTCTAAATTCCAATGAATGTAGTCCCAATCTACCCAATCTCTCCTCATAAGGCAACCCTCTCAATTCAGGAATCAACCTAGCAAACCTCCTCTGTACTCCCTCCAATGCCAGTACATCCTTCCTCAAGTAACGAGACCAAAACTGTAGACAGTACTCCAGGTGTGGTCTCACCAGCACCGTGTACAGCTGCAGCATAACCTCCCCATTTTTAAACTCCATCCCGCCTATCAAATAAGGACAACATTCCATTTGCCTTCTTAATTACCTACCGTACCAGCAAACCAACTTCTTGTGATTCATGTACAAGGACACCCAGATCCCTCTGCACAGCAGCTTGCTGCAATTTTACTACTATTGATCTTTTTTGCAAAAACTTTCTGGTCTTCTGAAGCAAAACAAAAATTACCTCGCTTTTCCACAGGAAAATGATAAACTATACTGCTCTTGAGAACCCATCAAAGAGATCTACATAAGAAGCATCACTAAAAACAAAGGTTTATGTTTCTGTCATCTCCCAATGATGGAAAATTCAAAATATAATTCTCCATATTTAATGTTTTCAATGTTTTGTTTACCTGAATAAAATCTTTTCCCTTTGGATTTTTCATAATTGTATCCCAATCTAAGACTTTAAAATTGGCATCTCGCTAATTTGGATGCCTAGCTTATTCAAATGTTCAGTTAGGCTTAGCAGTTTCTCTATTTCTGTTTCCGAAGCTGTTCAACTTTTTGTGAACCTTGCTTTGACTATACCAATACGGTTAATATTTTCCAAATAGGATTCTTGATGCAAAGTGATACTTGATCCATTCTGCCTGATTTCTAATCCATTGTCCTTAAAAGTACCAGAAACCTGGCTTCCAATTTTGAATTCTGCTTTAAGCCTATTTATGACAATATTTCCAAACTTACTGCACCTACTGAACAAAAACAAAAACTACAGGCAACATAAAGATGCCCGAAAGCTGCCCCTCACAGTAAAATATGGACAGCTTTCATGTGAAGACAGCCCAGTTTTAATATGGTAGACTTCACTGAGAAGTATCAAACTCTACAGGCATAATTCAGGCCATACACACATTCATTTAGCTTCCAGTAGATCCCCACTATGTGTGGTACCTCTTCTGGAGGATGAACAAACACTTCCCTTTTGGGCTGATCTCACTGCAGAAATACATCTTTAATATCAATTGATGTACAGTCCTAAGCATTTATTGCTGACAAAGCCAAGAAAACCTTTGAGATTGTTTTACTACAATCAGTTTTTCTTCAAAACCTCATGCCAGCAGCCTTGTTTCAGCTTTATACAGTATGCTGCTACAACCGGTATTTGCAATCCTTATAAATCTCATATCTATCTCTTATCTCTTCCCTGAACTTATTGCACTCCCATCCCTCATTACTGCATCCTTCACTGAAATTTTTAACCTTTTCGAGGAAGGGTGGGCAAATTGCCTATATAATTTTAACAGACTTGAATTTTTGCCTTCTAAATTTCTATCACCTGATGTTTTGGGTCCAGTGACCCTTCAGAAGACCTGCTGAGTTTTTCCAGCAATTTCTCCTTTGGTTTCTGATTTCCAGAATTCACAGTTCTTTGTTATTTTTTAATGGAAGCTAAATGAATAGCAATGAGGGTGGAATGAAGGCATGGAGGTGGTGTGAGGGTACGAGAGGACATGTGGTTACAAGGGTTAATGGCTATATATACAACTGGTATAAAGTTAATATAAGGTGTAATAGCCTGAAGTGCAGCATGTGCCATTTTCTCATTCTGGGGTTTCCATGCTGTTTTGGGGTCTGTTCAGACAGAAGCAGCTAGTAACCAAACCAGATTTTATGCTGCTACGGATTCAGCAGAACAGAATGGTACAGCCTTGAGATAAAGTGACTTTAAGCAGCAACAAAGACAATCATGATGAAGTAACCACACTGAACTTTGAACTAACTATGAAGAACAAGGCATACAGACATGCCTGAGAAAACCAACCATTATGATATGCCCATGAGAGTCGTGAAAGAAAGCAAGAGCTAATGTAACAGCTAGCTTTTTCTCTGGTAGGAAAGATGAGTGTTTAACAAATTGAAAGGAAACTTTTAACCTGTTATGTTGTTCATATAATTTTCTTTACTTCTCCGTGTTTATTTTCAGCTCTGATTGATTGGTCATCTCGGCATAAACATTAAACTAAGACTTGACTTTGAACTTTGTCTACTCGGACTCTGTTTACCAGATAAGTAACACTTATCACCACAGCAACTGTTTACCTACTCACTCACATTCTCCATTAACGCTCACATACTTCAGCACATGGTGGTTTAATGTAATGTAGAGCCACAGTGTCTCATATTCATTGCAACATTATCACTTTTCAACAACAACAATTTCAGTGTATCAAATGCCTGATCCTAGCAAAACATTACAAGGTGTTTCACAGGAGCAATAGCAAACAAAATTTGTGGCCAACATTTAGCTAAAAATTTAGTTTAGTTCAGTTTCAAAAATTTGGTCAAGGTGGGGAGGAAATATCAATGGCCACAAATTAGAAGGTAACAGTGACAGGTAAACAGTTATTATCTATGACTGGGAAGAACACTCCACATTCAATTATGTGTGAAGTACCTTCTTGCTAATAGTGTTTTCTCATGCAGTGTCAATCCAGTGCAGTGAGTGAAGTGCTGGGCTGATGAAAAATTGAACATGGAGATCCACAAGAAACACAGGACTCTATCGATTTCTCCCTTTAACTGTCCCTGGTTGGCAATCTCGGGGCTGAGTCAGCTGATTAGCACCTGAAAAATAGGTCACTAAATGGATTGGTCATAATGGGGAAGAGTTATGGGGAAATTTAGTCTGCAGCTAGCTGTGGTATAACCTGCCTTGGGAAAACCTGACACTGGATATATAGAAGTGGGAAGAATTCTGGTCCTGAATATCAACATCCTCTCTACAAATAGCTGAGAGTTAATACAGCACTGAATATCATCATTCCATTTGGTAATATGATGTTGTTACATTTTTAGACTTATAGGTCATAAAGCAAATGATCAAACCTCCCTGTTTACCTCTGTAGGTACATGCTTACTGAGGGCATCATCATTAGCACAGGTTCTTCATTTGCTATTGCATCATTTAGCACCACAGCCTGCAAATGGTCTATTGTGTCCAATAACTTCTCTGATATCACTCTTTGCTGAAAGATAAAAGCACATCTTTCATAAGGCACACCACATAATTCCTTTAACTTTTAATTGTACCACAATTTAGTTATGAAAGTCTGAGCACATCTCATCCTATGTTTAGTTATATTTACCGTATCCATGGCCAAGTGTTCTTGGCCATCATTTTCTACTGCAGCTTCCAAAACATTGTTAACCACGTTAAAGAGGGTATTTGCTGCAATTATTCTTTTCTCAGGATCTTCATCATCCACAACACTGAAAGTCAGCAATGATTTTCCCATATTTAGAAGGGTTGAACTGGCTTCCAACTTAATAGGAAACAGAAAAGAGATATAGATAGTTCAATATTCTGCTTTGACGTAAGGGAGTAAATGATTCATAGAGAATTATAGAATCCTGACAGTGTGGAAGCAGGCCATTTGACCCATCAACTCCACACCAACCCTCTGAAGAACATCCCATCCAGACCCACCCCCCTGCACTTTCCCTGTAACTCTGCATTTCCCATGGGTAATCCATTTGGCCTGCACATCCCTGGACACTATTGGCAATTTAGCATGGGCAATCCACCTAACCTGCACATTTTTGGACAGTAGAAGGAAACTAGAACACCTGGAGGAAACCCACACAGAAACAGAGCGAATGTACAAACTCCACACAGACAATCATCTGAGGCTGGGACTGAACCCAGCTCCTTGGTGGTGAGGCAGCAGTGCTAACCTGTGAACCACCATGCCACTTCATTTAAGTACATTTCACCTCTTTGTGTTATTTTAATCTACAATCATGTTTTCCATCAAAAAATGGGCATTAATGTTTCAAGGCATATTCTACTTTAGGAATGAATGCCTTGGGATGGTTTTTTTATTTCTTATTGCAGTGGGGGCTGGTTGGCTCAATTGACTGGATAGTTAATATGTGTTTCAGGATAATGCCAATTTTGGTTTAATTTCAATTCTGGTAGAAGGTAGCCCGGTAATATGCCTCCTCACCTCCCCCTGATACTGGAAGGCAATGGCAATCTACCCACTGGGGAAAATAATACTGCCAAGGGAGCAATTCAAAGCAAAGCATCCACAGGCAGTGAGCCAAAATCCTGGTTTTCAGAAAACCACAGGTGAATGAATTAAACTTCTGCTCACTGAATTGTATAGAACAGTACAATTGTAATACAACTACTATAGTACAGAATCTTCCTGCAGAAGGCAAAAGAGCAAGAGCAGTCAGGATCATTGAGGGGAAATTGGGAAGAAGTAAAAATGTTAATTGAACATGACTGGAGTTACCTGTGATGTAGAAGTGAGTTCATCAGCCTTGTAGGTTAGCTGTTTTAGAACTTCTGAAACTTGAACAGCCTCGTGCAGTGATGAGACATCCACAACAGACAAGTTTGAGAGCATGGTTTCCCTCAACTTGGGGATGTTTTTGACAGCAGCAAACAAAAACAGACAGATTTGTATTACTTCCCAATGAATTGCTCTTTGTGAACTTAACATTTACCTGGTAATGCAGAACTTGAGCACAGTATTGTTGAAAATAATGCACACTGTTGAAACTTTTTGTCTTATTCTCACCAGGGCAGATACAAGAATGCCAAGTTTCAATGAGAACAACAAATTATATCACATGAGCTGGCAAGTTGACTCTGATTGGTTTCAGGTATTGTCATGGAAAATGTACCTGAAACTATTGTCCCTGCACTCTTTTATACTTAATTCTATTAAGGTGCAATGCTTGGATATGATTATTTTTCTTGCAAGGACAAGTCCATGTGTATGAATGTATGTAATTTCCAATAAGTGTAAGTGAGCACCATTACAAAGCTGACTGATAACCTTAAATCAGTGTACCTTAAACCATATTCAAATTATTCAATTGTCGAATCACATCCAAAGATAGACATTGGGCTGACTTTTATCAAAAATTGGTTACGTCTCAATTTTGATGAGCTTTGTGGAGCATTCCTCTCTCTGAGCCTTGTGAGTTTTCTCATGTCATTTGCTGCTGCTCACCCCATTATAAATGTACCAGGCCTCATGAACAATCAGTCTTGAGTCGCTAGATCTGTTCGAAGTCTATCTCATTTATCACAGTGGTAGTGCCACACAACATAATGTAGGGTATCTTCAATGTGAAGACAAGATTTAGTCTCCACAAGACCTGCATGGTGGTCACTTTTGCCCAAAATATCATGGACATACACACCTAGAGCAGGCAGATTGGTAATGATAAGGTCAAGCATGTTTTTCTTTCTTCTTGGTTGCCTGAATACCTGCTGCAGACCCAGTCTAGCAGTTATGTCCTTTAGGACTTGACCAGCTCACTCAGTATTGGTGTTACTGAGCTACTGTTGGTGATAGACATTGAAGCTCCCCCTACCCCCAAGAGTAAATTCTGCACCCTTGCCACCCCCGGTACTTCCTTTAGGTAGTGTTCAACATGGAAGCTAAGGCGAGGCAGTACATGGTAACCAGTAAAGGTTTCTTTGCCCGTGCATGACCTGAAGACATGAGACTTCATCTGGTCTGGACTCCCAGGGCAACTCCCTTCCAACTGTATACCATTGTGCCACCACCTCTGCCAGTGGGACAGGTGATTGTAATTGTGTTGTCCAGCAGCAGCATTACACTGAAAAGTGTCGGTCAGTCCACTACAAAGTGTAGCATTAAAGTGGATAACTGTATTCAAAGTGAGTCGGAGACATGCTGTAATTATGCTGGTGCTTGTCCAATGTCAGTGTTCTTGGAGGGGGGTGTGCAGGCACTCACTGCCGTTGGAACATATTCAAGTAACTATTGGCCAAAATGGAGGCTCCTCCAAGCCATCAGGAACACATTCCTCCGAGCTGGAGCCACCAGGAATTGTGTGGAAGCAGGCCATTTGGCCCAACAAGTCCACATCAACCCTGTGAAGAACGCCCCACCCAGACACATCCCCTTCCCTTTCCCTGTAACCCTGCTTTTCTCATGGATATCCCACCCAGCCTGCATATCCCTGGACACTATGAGCAATTTAACATGGCCAATCCACCTAGCCTGCACATCTTTGGACTGTGGGAGGAAACCAGAGCATCCAGAGGAAACCCATGCAGACACTGGGAGAACACACAGACTCCACACAGAGTGTCACCCAAGGCTAGAATTGAACTCAGCTCCCTGGCACTGTGAGGCAGCAATGCTAACCACTGAGTCACCATGCTGCCCAGGGTTCCACTCCTCTGAGCTGGAGGTGCCAGGTACCTACTCTGGCTTCTGTCTTGTGAATTGGCGCTGTCTTTCTCTGACAGTTGGGAGAATAGGAAACAGCATAGATTGAGGCAAGATTCGGTACTAAACAGACGTATGTACATGCAAATAGGTCTCTCACCACTCATTAGCAAGGTTCTTGCTGTTCAAACATCAGGTATAAAACTTGACATTAGGATGTATGGACAATGCACCTGGCATCACACCAGCACTGAAATTCACACACCACACTTTTCATTTGTGTGATAGGAACAGTGTATTTTTGACAGCAACCTTCTGTTAGTGAGCAATAGCACTCATTTTACTACTGCATGATAACAAAATGACATGGCCAGCTTCAACTTTTGCTCAAAATGCTCTGAAAATATATTTCTGCTAACGAGTGAATCAAATTTGAATGGATGTCTCTGCTTAACCTAGATTCACTGATGTGGATTAGAGTTGAACTCCAGCAACTTTAAGATTTTACTATTTCTCCTTTATCTCACACAACTGCAGGAACCATTTTTAAAATAACTGAAAGCCAGACATTAGTTAGGCAGTCTGCAAATCATAAATGAAGAATACATTAAAACATCATGAATATATGATACATTCAAGTCTAATTTTCATATGATATTGATATTAAATGATCAAAATAAACAGCTGACAGAATTCCAGCATTTCAAACTTATTTGTTCAATTTTTAAATTGGTGGATGGGGGATAATGGGCTATTATGAACTTGAGCTCCCATTCAGAACTAAAGGCAGTACTTGTCAGTGCTTTGAATCAGAGATAGTAGGAACTGCAGATGCTGGAGAATCCGAGACAACAAGGTGCAGGGCTGGATGAACACAGCAGGCCAAGCAGCATCATAGGAGCAGAGAGGCTGACGTTTCGGGCCTAGACCCTTCATCAGAAAAGGGGGAGGGGAAGGGGGTTCTGAAATAAATAGGGAGAGAGTGTGAGGCAGATAGAAGATGGATAGAGGAGAGGATAGGTGGAGAGGAAACAAACAGGTCGAAGAGGCAGGGATGGGGCCAGTAAAGGTGAGTGTAGGTGGGGAGTTAGGAAGGGGATAGGTCAGTCCAGGGAGGACGGACAGGTCAGGGGGGCGGGATGAGG